TCCTGCCAACAGGAGCCTGCCAATCAGCTTGTTACTATTCCCTGGGTGATATTTGGGAAACCTAGAGTATATGACGTATGCAGAACTTTACATTTATCAACATTAAACCTCATTTGCCAAATAGATGCCCAATCACACAGTGCATTCAGATCTGCTTCTAAGTTAGAGACATCCAAGTTATGTAGTGGAATACAGTCCTTACAGGATGTTACATAGTTACAATGTAACTATGTAACTATGTAACATCCTGTAAGGACTGTATTCCACTACATAACTTGGTGTCATCTACAAACACAGAAATAGTACTTTTAATCCCCAATTCTATGTAATTTATAAATAGATTAAACAGTAAGGGGCCCAACACTGAACCTTGGGGGACACCACTAACAACCTCTGCCTATTCAGAGTATGAATCATTGATCATCACTCTCTGAATATGGTCTTTGAGACAGTTTTCTATCCAATTACAGGCTGACTATTCTAAGCCTATAGACCTTATTTTACATATTGGGCCTCATAGAAACTAGGGCCAAAAACAGACTGTTCAGGTCCACATAGTGAACATTCTGAAATGAATCTGAATGCTGGTGATGATTACATGCATTTATATGCAGTATGTTTAGCTGCCTATAAAATTGTGGACCAGGTGCGCTGGCCTGGTAAATAAGTACCAGGTATGGTGGGCTAGTAATTGTAGACAAGGGGGAATTTATCAAAACTGGATCAGTTGCCCATAGTAACCATACAGGTTTCTCTCTTCATTTTGTTCAGTTAAGCTTTAAAAATGAAAGACAGAAGATGATTGGTTGCCATGGGCAATTGCAGTGGACTGGTAATTGAGGACTAGGTTAGGTGGGATGGTAATTGAGGTCCAGGTGTGGTGGGCTGGTAAGTGTGATCCAGGTGCAATGGGCTTGTAATTGCAGACAAGGTGTGGTGAGCTAGTACTTGAGGACCAGGTGCGGTGGGCTGCTAAGTGTGATCCAGGTGCGGTGGGCTGCTAAGTGTGATCCAGGTGCAGTGGGCTGGTAAGTTTGATCCAGGTGTGGTTAGGCTGATGATTGAGTACACAGCACACATATGGTATAATCCCATTAAATGACATTCTAATACACAGTACACATCTTATACATGGCATAATTCCAAAAAATGACATTGTAATACACAGTACACATATGATGCATGGTAGAATCCCATCAAATGACCTTCTAATACACAGTACATAGTACACATATGATGCATGTTATAATCCCATGCATTTAACATTCATACACTAAAAATAACACACAGTACACATATGATACATGCTATAATCTCATGTATTCACATTCAAACACTCTAATACACACCACACAGGCTAGATATAATATATGTTATAATCCCATGAATTTACATTCCTACATCCTAAAACATAGCACACACTACACGTGTCATACATGCTATAATCTCATGGATTTTATATTATCAACAGTAATACATTAATACAGTACATAATACATGTTATAACCCCATACAATGTTACATTCATACATGCTAGTACATAGCACACAGAATACATATGATACACGCTATAATTCCATTAATTTACATGTATACACCCTAATATACAGTACACATATGATACATGGTATAGCCCCATTAAATTACATTCTATCAGACAGTACACATATGATACATGGTATAATTCTATTAAATTACATTCTAATGCACAGTGCACATATGACACATGGGGGGTGATTTACTAACCTAAACACACATACGCACCAGGTGCGTGTGCATTTTTACACAGCAAAACGTATTTATCAACCAAACACGAGCAACGTGTCACATTTTCACGTCGTTATGGCGCGTTTTTATGTATTTATGTACGTGTGCGTCATGTAGCATGCGCCATAGGCTACACGCTGCTCTAGTAGCGGCATGCAAGTCTCTAAAAGCATATTTCCACTAATGCCATATATGGAAAAATCATGCACATGATGCATATATAATGCAAAAATGGTTAGCTCATGCATTTACATTCCTGCATTCATCAACGCAAGCAACACAATGTAGAGCTAATTTACACAACATCACCTTGCAATTCATGCAGGGCTTTGCACAACACACCTGCTGGGTGTGTACACACTACAAAGGTGTCTAGATTCCACCAATAGATCATGCTGGGAGGGAACACACTACAGAGGTGTATACTTGTTTGTGGCGTGTTTATAAGGTTAGTAAATCAACCCCATGGTATCATCCCATTAAATTACATTCCAATACACAGTACACATATGATACATGGTATAACCCCATTAAATTACATTCTATCAGACAGTACACATATGATACATGGTATAACCCCATTAAATTACATTATAATCCACAGTACACATATGATACATGGTATAACCCCATTAAATGACATTCTAATACAGAGTGCACATATCATTCATAGTATAAATCCATATAATTCCATAAAATGACATTCTAATACACAGTACACATATGATACACAGTATAACCCCATTAAATGACATTCTAATACACAGTACACATATGATACACGGTATAATTCCATAAAATTACATTCTAATACACAGTACACATATGATTTATGGTATAATCCCATTAAATTACATTCTAATACACAGTACACATATGATACATGGTATAATCCCAATAAATGACATTCTAATACACTGCACACATATGATACATGGTATAATTCTATAGAATTACATTCTAATACACAGGACACATATGATACATGGTATAATCCCAATAAATGACATTCTAATACACTGTACACATATGATACATGGTATAATTCTATAAAATTACATTCTAATACACTGTACACATATGATACATGGTATAATCCCATTAAATTACATTCTAATACATATTACACATATGATACATGGTATACTTCCATAAAATGACATTCTAATACACAGTGCACATATGACACATGGGGGGTGATTTACTAACCTAAACACACACACCAGGTGCGTGTGCATTTTTACACAGCAAAACGTATTTATCAACCAAACACGAGCAACGTGTCACATTCTAATACACTGTACACATATGATACATGGTATAATTCTATAAAATGACATTCTAATACACTGTACACATATGATACATGGTATAATCCCATTAAATTACATTCTAATACAAAGTACACATATGATAACCGGTATATGTCCATAAAATGACATTATAATACACAGTACACATATGATACACGGTATCATTCCATAAAATGACATTATAATACACAGTACACATATGATACACGGTATCATTCCATAAAATGACATTATAATACACAGTACACATATGATACATGGTAGAATTCCATAAAATGACATTATAATACACAGTACACATATGATACATGGTATAATTCCATAAAATGACATTATAAACTGTACACATAGGATACATGGTATAATTCCATAAAATGACATTATAATACACAGTACACATATGATACATTGTATAATTTCAAAAAATTACATTCTAATGCACTGTACACATATGATACATGGTATAATCCCATTAAATTACATTCTAATACACAGTGCACATATGATACATGGTATAATTCCATAAAATGACATTATAATACACAGTACACATATGATACATGGTATAATCCCATTAAATTACATTCTAATACACAGTACACATATGATACATGGTATAATCCCATAAAATTACATTCTAATACACAGTACACATATGATACACGGTATAATTCCATAAAATTACATTCTAATACACAGTACACATATGATACATGGTATAATTCCATAAAATTACATTCTAATACACAGTACACATATGATACATGGTATAATCCCAACAAATTACATTCTAATACACATATGATACATGTTATGATCCCATGAATATCCATTCATACATACTAATACATAGCACACAGAATCTTTATATGATACATGCTCCAATCCCACGGATTGTACATCAAACACACTAATACATGAACACAGCATATAGTACATATGATATATGGTATCATCTCAAGAATTACACATTGACACACTCTAAACATCCACTTTAACCTTTAGTAATCTACATGTTCTGATGTCAGGACTTTACATGGTATCACTCAGCACACACATGACACCCGATGACAGTCCATATAAATACGGTGTGTACACATCTCCTGATTATTAATATTCGGCATGTTCTCATCATACGATGGAATCAAGTCGGATTTTCCCATCCTATAGCCCGATCACTGAAAATCCCGATAATAAGGACTGATATCCTCCTATAAAGTTCGGCAAAATATCGGATTTGTCGGAGATCGAAGTATAAACATAGCCATGACCCCGATGTACGGAGGTCGGCGCCGCGCTGACAACGAATGCGGCGTTATTTCACATCGATTTATTCGTTCTATCGCACATTTCCTATAAAACATGACACACGGGTGAGTTGATGCAGTAAATATCGGACGATGTATGCCTTCAGCAGCATAATCGGGTGTATAGCTGATGGCAGTAACACTTCGGATCGGGGCTGTCATTATTTTTGCGCTAATTCCAGACTGTTAAAGATCGGAAATGGCAGCTCTAACGCTGCGTGTTTAGTTTTAGGGTTATCACCCGTTTTCGGGTGAAGGGATCATTCCCGTGATCGGGTGGGATGGGGGTATTTATCCTGCGATCGGGTGGAATGGAGGGATTATTCCTCGTACACAGTTGTCGCATTTTATATAAACACACATTTAATGTTTATGACAATATTACTCTCATGTCATGTCCCTTGTGCAGTGTATAGTACAGGAGTAAGCGGAGCACACAGGGGCCCCATATTTCGTGGCTCGTGAGGGCCCCAGGCCGCGTTCCTGTCTTTTTAGTACGATCCGATCTAGATTTGATCCAACCATTGCTTCACTTCTCTCCCTTCCCCCATCTTCTTCCAACTCCGGGGGGCGGATCGCTGCCGGCGGAGCGCCAATCAGTGCCGGCCATGGTTGCTCGGTGACAGCTGCAAGGCCCGCCCCCTGACATTACAGAGCGGACTCCGGCAGGGAAGAGCAGGACAGACGGCGGAGCGGGAGACGGAGGAGTCCGGGTACATGGACATCGGCACACCGAGAGCCCCCTCCGTGTTATCCGGGGGACGCCGGACTTCTACACCAGCGTCCTAGGGAGGAGAGGAGCAGTACACAACTCGGGACGGCAGGCATGGAGCTCCCGGCGGCCGGGGAACATGTCTTCGCTGTGGAGAGCATCGAGAAGAAGCGAATCCGCAAGGTGAGGCCGGATCAATGGGAGCCCGAGCGGGGGAGGGGACGGATCTGTGATCGTATTTTATTATTATCATCATCGTCAATATATTAATAATGATATTCTTATCGCCCCAGGGCCGTGTGGAATACCTGGTGAAATGGAGAGGATGGTCATCCAAGTAAGTAGCGGGAGAACCTGGGGCGGCATCACACTACTACCCGCACATGGCACCGCATCTGATCATCATCATTACCACAGCAGACAAGCAGTGTGGTGCAGGGAGGGAGAATGCCATGTCTGCACCACAAAACTCACACATGGCCTGACATCATCATTATATTTAATTACATTTTATTATTTTGTATTCTTCTTATCCTCCAGCAGGCAGGCAGTGGGGTGCAGGGAGGGAGAATGCCATGTCTGCATCATAAAACTCACACATGGCCTGAGATCATCATTATATTTGTTATTATATTATTTATTATTTCTATTATTCCTATTCTCTCGCAGACAAGCAGAGTGCTGCAGGGAGGGTGAATGGCATGCCTGCATCACATAGCTCACTCAAGGATACAACATATAGTAAGAATAATATTTAGTATTCTTCTGCTTGTCATCCTGTAGCAGACAGACAGTGGGTTGCAGGCTGGCTCTATGTCAGTCCTGTAGGGGGGTTGGGAGTTTGCCTTTTGCCATGCATGGAATGTCTTTTCCTGCCTCCCTCCAGTCAGCCGTTCTCCTCTATGAGCGCTCTTTATTCCAGCAGCATGTCACCTTGCATGGCTTTGCTGGAATTGAAAATAATTTGCTGGGGTTGTGCCTACTGTATGCAGATTATATTGGCCAATAGAAATCAATGTAGATTCATATTTCCTTGAATTGGCTTTAATAAACAGTAGTCTAGTTGATGGGGGTCCGTTTAGTCATTCCATGATCACTGCTCCTTGCTCAGCCTTATTGAAGACGAGGTTAGAAATGCACCACTAGTACTCGTTATATCCTAAATATGTTATACTTGACTATGCTATGTTATACTTGACTATGTTATATTATTCTATGTTATATTATGCTATGCTATGTTATACTTGACTATGCTATGCTATACTATACTGGGTTGTTCTATATGAAGTGGATGGTAAGGTGTGTTCATTGGCAGTGGCTAGTGCTGCTCAACATCCCAGGTTTTGGTCCAATTCAGAATAGGTCTAGATTGTATAAATGACAATGATTTCCATGGTGCATTATTTGCATTTTGTACGTTCCAGGCCAGTGCTGTCCAATATTCCAGTCCATAGGCCCTTTTAAAGTAGAGCTACACTGTATAGATTGGTCATTCTCAGCCAGAGTTTGGTAGAACTCTAGGGCTTCTCTAGGGGTTCCTTGAGCTGTGACTGATTGTCCCATTTGAAGGTGCTTGCATAATTTTAGGTCCAACCCCCACATGGAGCATGACACTAATGCTGTTTCAAGCTGTCCATAAGGGTGGGATTCTGACCACCACTAGGGATGAGCTCAGACCGAACCCAGTCCAAACCTAAGCTTCTCCAAACCCAGAAAGAGCTCCTCCTGAACACAGAAGGAAGCTCCTTCTGTGCCTCCCCAATCAGCTGCGGGCTGGATTCAGTGACATCTTTGACCTTATATGGCCACATGCTATATTTGGTAAATTACATTTTCCTAATATGGGTATGTGACCATATAAGGTAAATTATGTCAGCACAAGCACCCCGCCTCTTTGTTGACATGCAGCTGTGGGGCGGGGAATGCCTGGCCTGGGGATGATTGGGTGGAAATGCCCATGGGCCTTCCTTGTTCAGAGTAGTTAAGACAGAACTGGTCTGAACCTGAGCTCAAGCTCCTTCTTGATCACCACCGTGAGGGGGGCATTCTTTCCACTAATCACCATTGTGAGGGGGGTATTCTTCCCACTGACCACCACTGTGAGGGGGGGTGGGGTATTCTTCCCACTGACCACCACTGTGAGGGGGGGGGGGTATTCTTCCCACTGACCACCACTGTGAGGGGGTATTCTCACTGGCCACACGGTAAGAGGGGGCATTTTTCCTATTGTCCACCCCTGTGAGGGGGGGCATTCTTCCCACTGAACATGATTCATTAATTTTAGAAGGGGTACCTCAAGGCCTAAAAAAAATATTTTAAGGGTTTCTCTAGGGTTGAGAAAGGCTGTGATAGATGGAGAAGAGGTTTCATGCTGTGCTGTCAAATATCCTAATTTATAGGCCAATTCAGGATAGAGCTACATAGTGTAGGTACCGAATACCATGATGAAACATCAGTTAATTTCATCTTGTACCGTCTAGGTATAACACATGGGAACCAGAGGAAAATATTTTGGACCCTCGACTGTTAGTTGCATTTCAGAACAGGTATGTTTATATCGCTTTTTGTTCTACAAAGGTTTTTTTGAGAAGAGTTTTATATTTAAAAAAAAAAAAAAAGGAGGAACTCATTGAAATTCCTATGTATGTATAACATTTTAACAATAAGACATGCTGGAAATACGCGTGGTTTTCTACGGACGTAATCTTGGCTAATACAAAAAAAAATCAGCCTGTTTCAAATGAACCAATTAGTTGCCTAGCAGGTGGTCTAGATCTCAGTACCCCAAAGCAATGTTTTGTCCCTTTTGGCCATTACAGATTTGTAATTTGACAGAGGTGGGCGTTCCATTGCAAGGTTGTTGTGCAGAAGCCTTCTTTCCCTCCACCCACTCACACAAACTCTTGGCTAATTTTGACATTGTGTAAACAGTCTGGAGCAGAGTCTCCCCAGCCTTAGATTGCATGTAATCTGCTCCATGCATTTTAATGAGATCATTAGCATGCTGCCTGCATCTGTACATCTTCACATCTAGCATGCTGCTTTATATTTTCTATTAAATGGATTTAACGTTGCATTTAATATTTATGGAGATAATAACGTCAGAATGATTCAAACTGAGAATTTTCTTTTTTTAGCAATGCTGTATCTTAATGAGGGGAAGACGATAACTTCAGTAGGCTGCAAGCTACCTTATTTCATAGCTAAATATGCTGCTATGGATTTATTTTAATAAGGAGCAGAAACAAAAGCATTGTGACTAGTAAACAAGAGTTAAAAGTACAAATGTGCGTTCATCATCTCACGATGTTACCAAGTTGCACATTTGTGTAACATTCGCATAGCTTGGGAATGTCATCATCCTAAAGACCAGCTGCAGTCTACCCATGTAGACTCTTAGGGCCTGTTTACATGCATTTCAGGTCCGGATCAGATGCGGATCTGCAGACGCGGTGCTATGTGTTTTTGCCGCGTTTTTGATGCGTTCCAGTTAAAAAAAAAATTTTTTTTTTTTTTTTTTTTTTTGCTGGAGTGGGGCTGTCAGTATGTTAGCTGCAGTGCAGTGTGTTTTTGACGCGTTTTGCATTTCCTGACCGTACAAAATGTGACATGCAGTATTTTTCTGTCCTAACCTGAACGGACTGCGCACGTGAGATCTGTAGCCCATAAAACACATAGGGATACATTGGGATGCATTTTTAGTGCAGGAGCGTACGGATCAGGTCAGCACAGAAAGCGGACGTCGTGTGGGTGATGGGAGGTTGGTATGATTAACAGAGACCTGTTCCAAAATGATTCTCTGAGGTCCTACTGAGGATTATTATTCTGTTAGCCCTGATGAAGAGTGCGTTGGCACTCCCTCCAAAGGCAGTTTTTACTATAAATTGGTTATACCGTTAATCCCTCTCTGCAGTACATCTTTGTATTGGCCAGCTGTCCATTCAAATATCAGCTCACTCTTGTGGGGACAGGACTTCCTTAAAGGAGAAATAAAGTCACCAAATGCAGTTTAAAAAAAAATTGTTAGTCCACCTTGTAAGTTTTGAGTCCCCACCAATCGTTAATGAAGAACTCTGGGCAGAATTAGATTTAACCCTTGCCATGGAGCTATCCCCACTGTGCAAGGGTCAGAGGCTTGTTTTTCTTTAGGGGACTGAATAAAGAAGATTTACTCAACTGAGCCTTGATAATGCGGCAGAGACGGCTCACTTTTCTCCCCCTACGCTCCGGCGTTGGACCGTCCCTTGGTATTGTTGGACCGTCCCTTGGCACTGTATTAGATGTGATGACTCGCAGGTCCCTAAACTGCTGGAGCCTGGGAAAAAAGAGTCTGCAGGGAACGGTCAAGCAGCCAGACGGGTCTGAGAATCAGGCAAAAATTAACATTTTCTTTTTTTAGACCCTTGAAATGAGCATGGCAGAACTTCAGCTTGAAATATTTATTGTACAGAATTTATATAATATACTGTGGGGGGGATTTATCAAAACTGGAGCAGACAAAATCTAGAGCAGTTGTCTGTGGCAACCAATCAGCATCTCACTTCAGTTTGCTCAGGTAAGATTTGAAAATGAGGCAGAGAAGCTGATTGGTTGCAGTGCAAATCTGCTCCAGATTTTGTTTGCTCCAGTTTTGACCAATTCCCCCCTGTATATATATTAGGGATGCGCCGATACTGTTTTTTCGGTATCGTGTACCAATATTTTTCTTTGGTACTCGCCAATACCGGCGTGCCAAGGTAGTGTGGGCCCGACTTCCTGATTGGGAAGCCGGCTTCATGCTCCTTTGTAACACTGCGGGAGAGCCTGGCTTCTTGACTTGATTGGTCAGGAAGCCAGGCTGCCCCGCAGTGCCACTAGGCAGCCTGAAGCCAGGTTTCCTGCTCCCTCGCAGCACTGCCGGTCAGAGGGAATCTCCCTCTGACCAGCAGTTCCAGTATCGGGATAGGTATCGGAGCATTTGGGCGAGTACTTGTTTGGCACCAATCAGTTCATCATACAGTGTGTGTGTGTGTTAATATATATCTATATAGATATATATCACTATATTATATTCTATGTAAATGATTGTTGTGCATGGAGAGCTCACTAGGAGGTCGAGGGCATAGTGAAATCAGCATTGTGCATTACATCAGATGTTGTTTTCTCGGTGTATCTGCAGCAGTTTTCCCAGAGTATAGCAGTTTAATTATACTGAAATAAGCAAGTCAGTCTTGTCCAAAGAGCAACGTACACAAACGTTTAGGATAATTATTCTTTTTTTAATTTTTTTTTACAAAGCAGTATCCAATTATTGCCTCTGCTCTATTCCTAAAATTCAGCAGATCTGTACAGATGTTTGTGAACGTTTCTCGTGATTTGTCTTTGTGAATGGCCATCAAGATTGCATTTTTCTGCAGCACATCTATGGCTTGACAGGCAATCATTACATGTAGGTTCACATACACATGACATCTGTTTTCACAGGCCCCACCCCTTTTGTCACTAACCCCCAACAAGGAAAGTCATGCCATACTGTTGTGGGTGACCATGTTTACCCACAAGTGACCTGACAAGGAAATGTTGAGAGAGAAAAAGTAATTGTCAATGTATTGATGTTTCTTAAGGTCGCTATGCAATCTGATTGTACAATCTTCTATAGATTTACCAACAGCTATTTAGTGGGGGGGTGAACAATTAAATACTAACTGAATGGATTGCTTAGGTTTGTCCTCATATTACATAGTAAAGAGACTGTACAGATGGTCACCCTTCAAGAAGAAATTATTATTAACCCTTGCAGTGGGGCTACGCCTGCACTGCAAGGGTTAAGTGCTCGCTTTTGTCTAGAGAGGAAAATAACAGATTATTCTGTGATCCTCCAAGCCAGCTTGCTCTTAAACTGGTCCTTGGAGCCGCTCTTCCCCACCGCTGCAGTGGTCTATAGTCCTGAAAATCCTCACGTCCAATACAGAGTAACATTCCATTTCTGCAGCAGAGGAGGAGACTGCTGCAGAAATGGAATGTTACTCGCAAGTTAAAAGCAATATTTAGTCTCGCCTGGACTTGTGTACGAATCTGAATTTTTAATATTAATGTAATCTGCTGCTTTCCTTTTTTAAAGACTTGTATGAGCTTCCTTATTTAGCCTAACTTACCCTGTATGAGACGCTGTGGGAGTTGGAAGTGAGAGGTCACCCTAAGTGACATTTGCTGCTCTGCCAACTGGCTGATGTCATGCTGATAATGCAGATTGTGTACAATACATACGCTGTATGTAAAGCCAACTTCAGGCAGCAGAATAAGTTACTTTTGCAGTATCACACCTCAAGCCCCCCTTCCTCCTTTCCCCATTTTCCCCCACATGGCAAGGGTTGAAAAACCGATCCCTCGAAGCTTCTCCTTTTCACTACCCAACCGGTCACAGCTCTCTCATGTCATCACTTGCAGTGCAGGGCCAGGGGTCCTGAATTGTATGTCAGGAGGCCAATAGTCTCCCCTCAATGTGGGAACGTCTGAGAGCAGACAAAATTGGCAGCTGCTCAGTGAACAAGGAATAAGGCAAATATTGTCCTTCTAATTCCCATGGAAAAATGTAACATTTAATCCACAGGCAGCAGATTAGCTAGTGGACCCATATACAATTCTTACTCATGTGAATGGAGAGGAGGAGGTAAGCAGTCTTTGCAGGAACTGCTAATAACACAGCTCTAAAGGGGTACAGGTGCAATTGGGGAACCTTCCCATTAGATATTGCTACCTTCGTGCTGGGCAGGTGGGGTAGGGGTTACTCATGTACATGGGATTGTCCCACTATTTGGCATACAGTGGCCAAATGAGGTCTTCTCATAGCATGTCATATTTACTAGTGGCAGCAGTGCTGATGGAAACAAGAAGGTTACAG